TGTCCATTAGGATCGCGATAAATTAATAAATAGACAAAACACCACACACGATCGATTAGGGCGAACGACCGTGTGCGTGGTCGATTGCGAACAATTGTACGGAACGTATAAAAACAAAAATTTACTGTAACAATCGACAAAAAAAACTTTATTACGGAATTTGGTACATTTAATTGTATTTTCCCACTACCGAGGTTAATAAAACTTTACAGCACTGACATACTCAGTTGATGATCAGAAATGCTGTAAAATAGTTTTATTTATTTTACTTTGTGTAGTATTTTTAACAATAATAATAATAATAATAAGTCGTGGTTGTTGGGAATACTATGTGCGGTTACTTCATTTATTAGATGAGAAATATACATGGACATACATCTCATGACAAAAAATTTATTTTAAAAAAATGTATGAGAATTGCGAATGGTTCAACAATAAATCGTCCATTATTCGCATTTCTAAGAATATATAGATCAATATAGATTTATATCAAAAGCCTGAATAATAATTAACTGCGACTGCGGGCTGACCTTTTTAATCTTGAAGGATAACTAGCCTCACTTGAATAATACTTGTTAGGACTAAAAGTTTTCAAAATACCTACTATGACTAGATCACTACTGTGATTACTTTAATCAAACCCAGTAAATCTATTTTAATAGATAATAGTGACTTATGAAGTTATCACAGTATTTAAACCATATCAAAATTATCTGACAATTATTCAACTGTCAATAATATACAATGAAAAAAAAGTACATATTTAAAAGGCAATAAACAATATTATCCTATCAAGTATTCAACGACACATGTTCTGAACACATGAAAAACTAAATTTATTAATTAGGTACTTTAAAGATAAATTGTCAAAATGCCATGCATACCAGTGATTAGAAAAATGAACCATTAGCTGTAGATTCCTTCACAAACAGATAATGCGGTGCTATCGTATATAAATAAATAATGTCATTAGTTACAACTGAATTATTAGACAAAATAATTACAATTTTAAACGTAAATAAACATTGACGATTTCTTATAATACCATTTGTCATTAATGTGTTGTGTTTGTAATGACAAATGGTATTATAAGAAATATCTAAATATGAATAATAAAAAATGTAGATAAATCAAAATCAACACCAATTGTTGAATTGTTGGCAATATTCGCGAACATTTGGCACTACGACCGAGTTTCACTGGCTATAGGGAAAGCGGTAAAAAAGTGAAAGTGAACGAGCGAGACGGAAATACGCAGTCAACGCGAGCCGGAAAGGGAGGAAACTATTCGAACCTATAAGGCGATATTACATTGGGCTACATCACATGTTCGTAAAAAATATCGACGCTTATTACGAGGTTAAGTAAGGATTCGTGATAAGGCTAAATTTCTAATTCAAACAGGTTGCCATATGATCTAGTACCCTTCTGTGTCAACATTAGATGGATTAGCAGTCAAGCACAAGTAGTAACAGTATAAAATAGCAACAGTATAAAAGAATGCAAGAGCTTCAAAGTCAAATTATTGAAATGAGTCCAGCAATGGTAAACATAAGATTTGTTTTACTTTCAAGCAGTAGTGGTACATTCTCTGAGCTATCATATTTCTTTCAATAATTTATTATTTCAGAATGAGAAGGCATATAGGCTGATCATAATTGATTCTGGTTATCAACTGTCTGGGCTGTCTAGTAAAACATCACACAAAAATTTGCCAAAACCATAAATAATTCTTTTAGCATAATTTTAATATCAAGGGAGTATAATAGTATTAACAAACTGATTGCGGACCACATTTTGTCACATTGATAATGCAAATTATTAAAATAAGTAAATTTGCTTGATGCAAATTTGCGCAAAATTTGCATCAAACAAACATTTTCGATGTTTTCGTGGCTTCACTCCGGGCGCGTTAACAACATATCTGTAGTATAAAATATCATGATTACAGTACATTAATACAAATGTTGAATAGTAAAGTAAAGTAACAGCCTATAAATGTCCCACTGATGGGCAAAGGCCACCTCTGTAAAGAGGGTATCAGTGCATAGTCCACCACGGAAATCTCAAAATCATAATCTCAAAAGGAGTATGTTTAACAAATAATTTTATACATTTATTTGTTAATAAAAAAATAGATTATTTTGTCATCTTTTTAAAACAATGCCAAAGAAACATTCACTTATTCACTTTAAATAAGTGTGGCACCTTTTCACATTATTTATCTTGGGATAAAGTTTGAATTGGAATAACTCCAAAAAGTCTCTTAATATTGATATTGGTCCACTATATTTGACACTGTCTACTATTTCATTATCACATTAAGTTTAATAATAATATTTCTTCTTCTTCTTTGATTAATGGCCTCTCTTAAAAGAATTCTGCCAATGTCATGTCAGTCATGGGAGTCACACTTATTAAATAATAATATTTGATATTACGCAAATATTACTGATGACATTTCAGGTAAGGTAATTAAACAGATTAAAGAAAACTGTAAAAAGTGTTTCGTTTAAAGAACATTCGTTAAAAGAAAAAATTGTTTCAATTAATTTCCATGGTTAGTAACAGAGCATGATTCATCATTATTTCTCCTGGTAAAGATGGGAAACATTGTAAGTAATTATAACAAATGCTAATAAACAATAAGAATTTATAAAATGTTGTAATAAAAATCAGCTAGTGAAAATTTTAATTTTAGGCCAAATTGTGTTGATCCATTTGGTGTAGTCCTGACAAATGATATAGTATGTTATGTATAACAAACCATGTATTAAGTTTAATAGTTTTTATTACTAAACATATCCATCATAATCACTGATAGTTTTATATTATAAAATACCTAGAGCAGAATTTACATTGCAGGTAAAATCTCCAATTTAAAATATTTCTAGAGAAAATTTTCAATATCTAGTAAAATTTTCCATTAGCGTCAGGGCGTTTTCGACCAAACAAAAATTTTATTCTGTAAAGAAAAATCACTAATGAAATAATAAACAAGCAGAATTTGGCGGTAGCTTATAGTTTTCGAGAAAATAAATAATAAAACTTGTTATTTTCACTAAAGAAATCTGCCATTTTGTTGTTGACAACATGTACAAATTTACGAATTCACACTTTTCGAAATGATAACCTCACATTATTAAAAAAAAAAAGTCTTTAAAAAATACTAAAAGTACTTAACTACTTAACCTTCTAACCTAATCTATCAGCGTCTATAGCTCTATGTCGAATCTGTCACTCTTTAAATAAAAAAAATAATCTTTGCCTACTTCCTATATTTAGCATTCTGGCAGCACTTTATTATTCAGTTTTTGAAGTCAAATTAGTGAAATGGCGAACTGTCTGAGTGAAAATAACCTTTTAAATATATTTTTAAAACTATATGCAACCGCCGAATTCTGCTTGTTGATTATTTCATTAATGATTTTTCTTTACCAAATAAAGTTTTTGATGGTTGAAAAACACTCAGACGCTAATGAAAAGAAATACTGCATCTTTTTCCATTTAAGCCACATATAAAAGAGAGGCTGTAAGGACTTTACATTATAAAGTATGTGTCTAATGATTTATGTAATGAATCGGCATGATAACGATGTCACACTAATGGGCTGTTGAACTACTATGCCCACATGGATGATAAACAAAAATTTTGCACTTTTGTATTCAATCCCATTATTAAAGTAGCCAGGGGTCACTTAGGGTTTCGTACCAAAAGGGTAAAAGAGGACCCTATTACTACGACTCTGCTGTCAATTAAATTCTAAATAAATATGATTTTCAATTACACCACTATTTGTTGTAATATCAAGAATCCAAAAAAATTAATAGTTGCTTTGAACTGTCTAGTGTTTCTCGTGGGTTTAATACTATAATAATTTTATGTTAAATATTTCTATAATGTCAGAAACTTTGGTACTGTAACATCAACTAATGTTCCTAGATAACAAGGGAATGAATAAACTAGGTATTTATTAGTATTACATCAAGTTCGCATTGTTGGTGGGAATCAAATTATCAGCTGGCTGATAATTTGTTATCAGTTAGTTAATAATAAATGGCAGGTTATTTCCATTTCTTATGTTTCATAACATATCATATTTATCCCAGGTTATCAACTGTATTGGCTGTTAATTTACTTTACTTTATCAACTGTACTTCAACTTCAAAGTATGCCAGTCATATAAATATCAGGGTTACACTTTTTTCAGTATTCAGTTTAAAAACATGATTTGGTGTAAAATTTGATATCAATATTTTTATTAAGATTCAAAATTGAAATGGATTTGTTTTAACACAAAGGACAAAGAATGATAGATATAAATGGGTGAATCGGGATATTGTAAAGATCTTGTGTTAATAAAGCTTCATCCACTTGTTCAAAATTGTCCCATGACAACTTTATTTTTATTTACCGATAAAAAAAATCATAGAAAAATGTTAACAGTACTTGCTTCAGTTCACTTTAAAATGGTGAATCCAGAGTTTAAATGAAATTCAATAAAAAGATTCAAGGCCTTAGAAACCTGTTTGACATTTATCTTTGCCCACAATGCGATTGTTTACACATTTACATATCATTATAAAAAAAAAAACATTTGTTTGAATATGATTCAACCAACTACGCATATTAAAACCTTGCGCATTCAAACAACAAATGTCGTATCATTTTTTGGCAATTACAAAAAGCGTTATCTGTTAAGGAACAAAAAACTTTTATTTTATTTGTCACACTAAACTTAAATTATATACGAACATGGAGGTTATAACTATCAGAACTATAGACTTAAAGAAATTATAACCGTAACACTAGGGCAATAAAATAGTAAAATACGATAACAAAGAATGACTAAAGAGTAAGAACTGGCTTTAAGTACCAATATAATACAAGGATTTATGTTGATATAAATAACTTTCAATTAAAAAACTAACTTACATGGTTATATATAATTTAAGACCAAAACAAATGAATAGTAACGAGATTATTTTGACGTAGGTACCTTTGGTTTGTAGAACCATTTTCTGAGAGACTCCATCGGACCAGTTTTATATAGCAGCCTCATATGAACAAATCACAGCACGATCACACACATTATAAAACCAATAATGCACTTAAAATCACTACTTATTAGCAAAAACGAGTAATATTTTGCCAATATTTACGTCAAAAAACACAAACGGCAGACATGTTTCCACGATTAGCGTTCACGTTTATGAATGATGAATGAACAGAAATGAATGAATATATTCAGTGATCTTTCACTCAAAACACGCTGTCATTTGCACCAATCTCAGACGAATGAAATATGAATTATTTGGATACACGTCAAAAAGGAAAAGTAAGAATGACATGACAATCTAAATAATCTAAAAAGAATGCTTTATAATAACCAAGGTGCTATTTTTCAAATAAATCATAGTAGTTGTAATAAATTATCAAAAATATTTATTTCACTCTATTACAGATTCATAATAATCAGTCAATGATGTAATGATTAAAAAATTACTTGAAAATTATATTGATTTCTAACTGTTTAAATCACATTTCAGTAACAGTATCAAGAATGTATAAAAGTGACACCTAGCGATACCTTTCCTAACTGCTGAAACCCTATTTGACATTAATTTGTAAACATGATATTTGCATTGCCTTGACACTAGGTTTTTTGGGTCTAAGAGAAGCTCTTAGACCGTGCTAAAAAGAATAAAAAGAAGAGGCAATTTTTTGTGCAGTCTGAACAGAAAAAAGCAAATCTCTAGAGCAGATTTTTGCTTTTTCAGTCGTGTTTCAGTTGTTTACAACAAATATAAAAAATAATAAAATGAAATGGCAATTAAATCCATAAAAACAGTTCAATTTAATAATACCTATAAAATTTTCATTAATTGAAAATTAACAAAAATAATTTTTTTTTGATGATGACTATTTTCAAAAGTCGCAATCTGATATTTCGTTCTGCAGTGAACTGCTATGAACTTATTTTATTAAGTCTTTTTCATATTTTATGATTAAGAAGGAGTCATAAATTCTTTTCTTATTTACTCATTACCGGCTTTGAAACTAATTTTAAAGAATTGCGAATTTGAGACCAACGATGATTAAGAGTATGGAGTGTAAACAGTGTCGGCCCTAGCCTTTTATCAGGGAATAGCGTGACTGGACAGGCGATACGGCACCGTTACCTAACGTGCGTCGCAGATCCTTTCGGGACATGGTTGTTTCGGGAGGTATTTGTTTCGCCTAGCGGGCATGGAGCCCACAGCAGAATGCCAGCACTGTGACGTATGTGCCGAAGAGACGGCACAACACACGCTGGAGGAGTGCCTAGCCTGGACGGAGTCGAGAGTTGTGCACTGTCGTGTGGCACGACCTCTCGCTACCGGCCGTGGTTCGTGCTATGGTTGACGATTATGCGAGATGTTATGCGAGAGGGCGTGGGTTGCTGTCCTCGCATACTGCGAGGACGTTATCACCCGGAAGGAGGCCGCGGAGAGAGAAAGGGACTGCCACCCTGGGAATCCGCCGCCGGAGGCCAGGGTGCAGGAGGCTGAGCGGTAGACATGGGGGTGTCTGCTGCAGCACATGGATGCTGTGCCAGTTGCAACATTTAGCCGGACTGGGTGGCCTAGCACCCGTGAAGAGGAGGCGTAAGAAGGCCATAGTCAAAAGAGGTGGATAAAGACTATAAAAATAGGAATACTATGGGTTGAAGCGAAAAATTGTCTGAGACCCCGTGGTACTTCCTCGTATGGGTAGGCCACCCATCTATGGTATCTCCCCCGGTCAGTGAAAGCGACTAAAAGGGGAAACTGGATTCTTCCGTTTATTTAGCGATAAATTTTTGCGTAGCAAGAAATTGCTTGCATGCGATAAACTTTAATTGTGTAAACACTTATCTCCTACGAGTAGTAGTAGTATCCGGAAGGCAGTCCGAGTGTTTGGAAACAAATAATTATTTTTGTGCGAGATATTGAGACCATATTTCCGTTGACCTTGGTCTGTGTCTAAGAATTATTTCAGATCTAGTATTACTTGAGCCCAATCTGCTCCAAAAATTTCTAGTTTCTATATCATTTAAAAATGTTTGTAAGTGAAAAGGGAAAATGTCGCGGTTCTAAAACGTTCCCTTAAAGCCGCTTTACGTGCGCGTAACGCTCCAGGCTAATACTGAAATATTGCTGTGAAGTTATTTAAAATAACACATCCGAAGATGAACGTAAGGGAGAGACTGTAAAGGAAAATCAAAAATAGACAAGATACGTAATCGCAAAATATGATATTTCTATTGAATAAAACAAAGATTGATGATAACACGCTTGAAATTGCAAGTACTTTCGTTTTTCTTGATTAAAATATCATCGCTTAATAATATTACGTACTTGCGATTTAAGTATATTAAAAAAAAAGTGTTTATAAATATCTCGTGTACATATATGCAATTTTGAATAAATTGAAAGTTCTATGGTAATAATACATTTTTGTTATATTTTTTTATGTCGTTCACGTTCGTTACTGGTATGTTTTTTATTTTGAATAGTTTTCAAAGAAGAAGAAAAAACAGTCGTTTGTTTTGCGTCAACAAAACAGTCCATATTTCGATGAAACTGATCCCTGTTTTCCCTATTGCAAAAGATCAAACAGTATCGGCTCCTTCGTAGTTAATTGCTTCGAATTCCAAACTGCAACATCGTAGGGTTTCTTCCAATACGCGGTGTTGTTAAAAGTGCGGTGCATGTGGTAATGAGTACCTAATGTTCACGGCAGAGCTTACCACACCTCCAGAGATTGGTGAAACCGTTGATTAAACGGCGTTTAAGGCTTATTAAAATGAAGCGTTCGAAACATTCGGAATTTTAAAACAAACACCAAATAATTCATAAATTTTGTTCAACCATTTCTTAACACCGTTTAAAACATTGCACGGCCGACTGCATAACTTATCTTAATTTACATTGACACAGTATTTTTTTATAAATGAGGCTTATTATAAGTAACTTAAGGATAGTTAACTTTATATCGGTGTCAATGATAAGAATATTTCGATATCGTAAGCACAAAAAATTTTCGGAGTCCAAACCGACGTCTAGTATTTCAGGTACAAAACCACTCTTATAACCACCATTTGGGTCTAAACTTTTAATTTTATTTATAGTAAAATAATACCAGAACGCCTTATAATAGCCGTGACATCTCATTCGCTCAGGTCGCTCGCTTTTAATTCCATGTACTCGAGCAACCTGAGTTTAATCCCAGGTGCCGGTTATTTTACGTGCTGAATTATGACGTGCTCAGCGATGAAGGAAAACATAGTGAGGAAACCTGCATGTTTTCATAAAAAAAATAATTCGAAAATATGTGAAGTCCGCCAATACACGCTGTGACTATGCTCTGATACTCTCTGTACACAGGAGGCATTCGCCCAGCAGTGGGACATTTATAGGCTGTTACTTTACTTTTACTTTTTACTAAATGAGTGAAATACGCTTGGTACAGCGTCTTTCAGTCTTGTCAGTCTTCAGCTGGGTTCCCTTGGGTTAGTTCCCTTGTCTTCTCTTCATTATCTGTGCATATAAGGGCTTAATACTAAGACGTGTTTTGTTTCAGTAGCCCTGCCTGGAAACGCGGGACAAATTAATGTTCTTTCCAATGGCTTCTAAGATGGCCACCATTGGCAGAATCGTGAAAATAAACGTGAGCTTTCCAGTGGCTTTGTGATATGCGCAGGTGTACGTTCGATAAAGTCTGTCTTAGCCCTCGCAAACACGGATTTAGTGTATGCTTACCAAATGCATGCAAACCCGTAACATATGACTTTAGTTCGGGTTTGGCATGCATTTGGAAAATTACACAGTCAAAATTTAACACGGTTAATTTGGCTCGCGGTTCTCAAGTTGACGTTAAGCTCACGAAAGGATGTTGCGTGTCATAGTATGTATCGCTATTGAGATGAACTTGATTTAAACTAAGTTTAAAATGGTCGTGTTGCCGCAGCTAGTTGCAAGTTACGTCCGCACCTCGCGGCCTAGCTACAATGGCGTCATACTCAGGGCCAGATTTAGAGGTTTACTACTGTTTACTACTCTGAATTTGACATTTTTTTCCGAAGTCTCTATTGTGGGGTCCCCTCGTCTGTGGAGGTCCCGGGGCTGTTGCCCCGGTTGCCAAGGGCGGATCCAGGGGGGGGGGGGGTCATGGGGGTCATGACCCCCCCTGGGCTGGTCCAGGACCTAGGTTGACCACTAATTAAAATTGTTAAACATAATATTTTTATATATTTTTTGCCACAATATAGATTTTATGTAAGTACCTTCAATATTAATTTAAATTAATATAATATTTTTAACCGACTTCAAAAGTTGGAGTTTCTCAATTCGATTGGTATATTGTTTTTCGATGTATGTTGAAATTTATGATCCGATTTACGTGATTCTTCTTTATTTTGATGTAGAATAGTTGCCATTTTGCCCCATAAAAATTTACCATAGTTTGGCCAAGTAGATTTCATTTTATGAACATTTTTACAAAATTTTTATGTTTGTCATCAAATCTTGCAAATTAAATTTCATCTACTTCCCGGTTACCGGTTGAGCTGAAACTTTGTATACATGTGTAAATCAGAGCCTCATCGCGTTCGGGTACATTTGAATCGTATTGACGAGTAGTTTGTCTTTCACTTAGATAAATAAATGAATAAACAAATAAATTAATTAATTAACCAGTAACCAGGATCTTATGATGGATCTCCATCTACAGCCGTCCGTGGACATATGCATAGGGTTGCAGATGCGTTTTCTCCTTACAATAAAGTGTGCTCTGGCTACCTCACTCACCAGAAAAAACGCAGAAGTACTTTACGCCGATCTTCTGTGAGGTCTATTCTGTGAGGTTCCTATGATCACTCTGTAATGAAATGACTGAACCCCATCGAGTTTCGGCTTGTTTGATTCGTCTTGGCGAGTACTTAATTTTTAGATGTTACCAGGGTCTGATCTGTTAATGGAGCTGGAACATAGTCATATGTACTCAGTAAACAAACGACGCAACCCTATTGTGTCTCGGCTC